TCTCTATCTACACATGTACCTGGGATGCGAACATTTGCCTCAATTCGTATAAGAAGCAGTAGGAATGTTCGCTCAGAATAAAATACTACAATTGCTAGCGTGATTTCCAAGATGCGACTTTTACCCCGTGCGTAGAATATTAGTTGAGCACCCGAGGCCACGAAGAAGAACTAATTTCGCGAAATATAAACTTTTTTCCTAGGTGATTCCGATTGCTCAAATCCGACCCGTGCTCTCGGCTTCAAGAGAATATGGGGTTGTAGATCCTTGCAAACATGTCTGTGGGCTTAGTAGCAACAACACCATTCTCTCTGTCGCCATGTTATGTTCGGCCCCTTCGATTGCTTTGAAATAGTAGAAATCTGGTAGAGGGAAACATGACTTCGTTTCGCACGGTCAGTTCCATAAGGACTGGAAAAAGAAGACATAGAAATGTAGTCGAACGTTATTTCATTGTTTCATTCGAAAAATTTCAAGTCTAGTCATTTGACGATCGTCTGTACATTCCTTGCCCGGTTCTAGGACGCTAGATAGCGCATTCGTCTTGTTCTGCACTCATTGAACACTAAGGTCCCTATACTCTCCTAATTGCGGGTGACAGGATTTGTCTGTGCCTCTGTCGCAGTACGGCTAGATTTTGGTTCAACTCTCCCATTCTCCCATTTGAATTCTACTCTTCTCGCTCTGGACTTCGATCAGGTCTACATAGCTAGTTCGGTCTCCCCTGTCCTTGAGATACCCCTCTCCCTATGGTTCACTGTATCCGAAAACTACTCTGAAGTTGACGAAAATTTTCCTTGTGGCTTTAAATGAAAGAACTGATAAATTGCATGCAGATATAGGTCCTAAATTTACACTAAAAACTTCGCAATTTTTCAGAGATTTTCTGCTAGCTATCCTCGGTAGGCTGGAAGACTCCCGTGGCAGAGACTAATTCCGTGCAAAATTTAGCTATTTTTAACCCTCACGTGCCCGCTCGGGCCACGTATTGGTCCGGTGCGAGGAGCCACCACGCCGATTTAAGACAGCGTTATCAATCAATCAGTTTAAAGAAAAAACCATCAACAGTTCCTGGCCAGGACACGCGACGGCTTCGTCAAAATCACCATTAGCATGATCACCACGGCCATCGGAGTCCATCGGACTCAAGTCAAGGGGGTCTGGCCTGGCCGTCAGCAGTCCTGTGCACGCGTGTATATCCACACAAGCATGAATCACTCACGTCTTGACATCTACTGTCAGCATGGGGCCTATTGTTTGCCGGATATTTGTGAAAAAAGAGTGGTCGAGGGAGAGCACGCAAGCACGGCACGGGGGGGTAAGATGACGGACACGGACGCTAAGTGATGACTGTCTTGGGGGGAGAGGG